TCAGGCGTGGGGGGAGGGGCAGCTTCCATTGTCAGTGACCCAGGTGTACAATGGGAAATTGAGGGGGGTGCTGGCAGAGTGACCCAGCTTTTTACTGCTGACTCCTTTCTCCCTACGCCAAGAACCCAGAAAACACGCTGTGGCCCCCTCGTTAGAGACTCTGAAAGACCAGAAACGAGGGATAAGGAAAGGCTCCCCCATTTTCAGACAGTTTTCAGAGCGCGGTTCTCTTTAAATGTGATAAAACACTGTCGGCACTGTCTCTTTAAAAGAGTCTAGCAGAAAAAGCTGTGTAAGCGCTGATTGGCTGCCTGTTTGGATACATCTTTAGGGGAGCCTTGAAACTGTTAGCCTAGGTTGATTTTTTTTTTTTTTTAACTGCGCTGTTCCAATAAACAAGTAACGCCCCTCCCCCTAACATGCCTCGCACCAAACAATTAAAGGATAGGTCAGTGTCCTGGGGAAAACACGTTTCAAGTAGGAAAACTCAGAACTAGATTTCAACAAAATAAACAATAATTCCCTACCATTAAAGTTTGCTTATTTTGATTTGTAGAAGAGAGAAAGGGGCCTTTAAAAGAAATGCCCCGCAGCAAATGGATCTGCATTGGTTCAGGAAGGAGACTCTGGGTGCATTTTTGGAATAATGTTCTACTCAGTGGAACAGCCTCCTTAAATTAGAATACAGCCAGACCCTCTGGACACCTCTGGACACCTCTGGACACTGTTTTCTACTGGCACCCAGAACTCACAGGGAAAAGGAGCAGAAAAAGGGAAAACAACCCTAGTTCATGGGCGTCTGTGTGCTAGGTCCTAGTTTAAAGGTTGTTTTGTGAATGAGGGAAGCATGGACGTTGGAAGAGAGTTGAAATACAACCATAGGGGAGCGAAGGAAATAATTACAGTTATTTTTTCCCCTAGGCTGTTTAATTTAATAGGGCCAACTTAGGGTGCGTTAGAGCCCACACTAATTAAATTGGGCTGCTCATACCCTTCCCCTGGACTTTCTTCTATTTTTGATGGGCGAGGAATGGCCAGGGACAGCTTGTCAACAGACTGACTCACAAGAAGCCTGACTCATCTTGTGTCTGCAAGGCCCACAAATTATGATGAGTATTGGTTAGGTTCTGGCTAAAGGAAAACACTGCCCTTTTCGGGCCCTACTACATCTTCCGTCCCCACTAGGTTGGCCATGCCGTATCAGTGTCAGGGCTGCAGCACAAGCCTGCCTTTCTGCACATCAGTTTCCTCATCTGTCAAATGGAAAGGGGGGGTTTTAGGAGATCTTTAACATCTTTGGTAGTGTGATGTTCTATTGATGCTAAGATTTCACTTCTATATTTTCATTACCCATCCTCTCCCTGGTAAAAGGACTAGCACCTCCTTCCAGAGCATGTGGTGTAGCAAGAAGAGAGGTGGTGTCCTGGGACTTACACAGGCATTCTGTCCGTATTGGGGATTCTGCTCTGCCGGTTGCTGGGGCTTGACACACAATGAGGCTCCATGTTGGAAGGTTTCTTGGTGGAGCCAAAAGAGCTGATGGGAAGGCCCAGTCAGAGATGGCCGTCAGGGTAGGAGGTATTAGCCACTCCTCCCCTGCCTGCTGGCCAGAAGGAGCTGCTGGGTTCCCTCAGTGTGGGACCACGCAGCAGGCCCACCTAGGTGTGCAGCTACCGGCACAGTTATCCCCAATGTGGTCAGATCAGAAGCAAGTTGGAAACCCAAGAATGGCATACTTTTCTGCCTTTAATTCCCTCCGCCTCCACCTCTCCTGGACCATATCTGAATGCCTCCTGCCCCAGTCCCCTTCTTCAACGTCTCCTTCATCGAGACCTCTCTGATTCCTATTCATGGGCAAAACCCATCTGCCTGTCCCTCTGCTTCTGTCTCATTGTGCTTGAACTTCCATAGTAGCCCTCCATGCGTTCTGCCCATTGTGTAGCCAGTTATTGACAGTCTGTCTCCCCCACCAGACCCGGAGGGCAGGATCTAACCCTGGGTCAACCCTGTGTCTCATCGCCCAGCATGACAGGTTCGATACCTGCCTGTGCACCAGCACTCAGTGTAGGTGGAGGCTCGGTCCTGGAGAGGGAAAGAAATCACCTGTCTCCAAGAACTCTGGGCCCAGTGGGGAGATAAGAAAGGACACGGAGACAATAGGACTAGATAAGGCACTCCCTCGGCTCAGCCCCACCCACCTAAGCCACAGGCACCTGGAACTACCAGACTTTCATTCCCAGAATAACCAAGCAAGCCACTTCACATATTTACTCATATTCTATCTACCCCTTTCTCTTTTCCCCTCCTTTCTTTTCTTCTTTCTTTCTTTCTTTTAGGGCCTGTTCACTGAATTCCTACTATGTGTCAAGCCCTGTCCTAAGCACTGGGTAATAAACCAGACAAAAGTCCTTACGTGGTGGAGCTTAGGCTGTTGTGAAACCCTCTGTCCAGAGCCCTTCCTGTGCCAGACTCTTGCTGATCTCCTCCAGAGGGCCCCCTGCCCCCACCCGGAACTCCTGGCCTGGGCCAGGTATGACAGTGGCACCTGCTGAATAATCTGTTGGTTTAGGTGTACGTTCCCCCACAGGAACACAACTCCTCAGGGTCCTCTGGGGACCTCCAGTGCTCCAGGAAGGACAATAGTGAAGGGAACAGACGCTCCAATGAAGGACTGAGCTGCCAGATGTGGGGACAGGCAGGTGAGGCGGGAGTGGGAGGAAGGAGTCAGTTCCAAACTTGGGCTAACATGGCCACTCCCTCCTATCTCAGCCGCCG